TATTTTTTGTGCATTTGCACAGCGTATTGTTAATTTTGTGCAAATAACAATACGTGCACAACGAATTTTCCACACTGTTAAGGTTTTCGGATTCCCTGGACCAGGAAAATAAATTTAATCTATATATAGAAATAATACACAAGTTTAGTATTATAAAAAAAGTAAATTTCCTAAAATATCTAGCGCAATAAGTATAGAATTCTAGAACCCTCAAACTTTGTACGTACCGGTATGGGAACAATAAGAACAAACGCACTTATTCATGTGTATACTACCGAAATTTGAATAAGCCGCTTATCTCGAATAGGTTAGCGACTTATTTTAAGTTTCTGTGGTACACTACGTATTAAGTTCGATATATACTAGATTAGTTGAATAGGATAAGAACAGATACTATAGGTAAAGACATCACGTTTCTTGTATTTATCGAATTTATAACGAAATTATGATCGTTCTGAAAAAAAAAAAGTCCCACAAAACTTATCATGCTAAACTATATACGTATTATAAAATCTGTAAAATTACATCTTGCTATAAAAACACATTCTACGATTATCATAATAAAAGACATATATATACACACATCATATGTACATATATGCACATCGCATGTTGCCCACTCTAAGATACACATATATATAGTCAGTATCCAACATTTATTCATAGCATTCCGACATTTTTTGTCTGAAAAATAATCATATTTACTTTATTATATCAGTAATCTTCCTTTTTGCTTTTCGACATGGCTAACGATGAAAGTGCTTTAAGTGCTTTGAAACCAGATGACAGATCTATTGAGGCAATTTTTGATTTGATGGCCATTTCATTAATTGTATTTATGGTAGATGCCGTAAATGTTTCTCATTTCATAAAAGGATTCCAATTGACGGTTATAAAATATTTCTTTCAATGTTTAATCTATTCCTTTTCAATTTATTTTATTGTTCATTTTTATCAAAATACCAGTAATTTTTTTTATATCGAATATCTTATGGCTCATTTGATCTTCACTACTATAAATATTATTGTAGATATAATTACAAGTTATCGTTCACATGAGACATATTTTTCGCGCCTTTCAATTCTTTCATCTGCTATACATTTTCTTAGATTTATTGTTCATTTAACTTTTTTGGTTATAGCCGTTTCCCGCAACTATATTGACAATACACATTATCTATTTGTACTTATACCTTTAATATTTGTTACGGTTTTTCAAGTTATTGAAATTATCATACATATAAAAGGTAACTAAATTTGGATTTCTAATTAATTTTTACATATTGCTAATACGTAAAATTTTATTTATTTATTTATTTAGATAAAGATAAAGGTAAAGAATCTTATCTTTTTATCTAAATTGTACTCTTGTTACGGCGAACATATTAGCGTTAGTGGTGGGCAAATTAGCGTGTTTAGTCATAAAACTCTGTCTGTTTTATGAGATTAAACCAAAAGAGTAAGCATTATAAGTAAAATTAAGCGATTCAAAGCAGTTGTAAATAAGCTTAGTGAGTCTTGACTCACTTATACTTTCGAGTCGATTCAACTCGATTCGAGCCATATGGGCAATTGACTAGGAAAATCTCTTTTTGAAAATAAACGTCGAACGGTGATTCTTCTAGATCATGTCCCATATATAAGTATTATTTCTAGTTTTCACTTTTTTTTATATTTGTTAGATCCAGTGTTAGAATCACGTTAATACGTATAATTATACCATTTACATGCACGTTGCCCATCACTAATTTTATTTATTTTTGCATAATCTAAGATAATGATTTATATATTCATTTCTATCGAACAGATAAACTAACATTAAGAAAAACTATTAGAGAAACATTAACTGTAGTTTCAGTTTGCTCAAATTATTTACTTTGCCTAATTGCTGGACCTTCCATTCTATGGATTAAAGTTTATCTTACATCATTACTCATATATGCTTCGGTATATAGGAAACTAAAAGAAGAGGAAGACAGTAAGTCTAGAAGTAATACAAATGCTTCAGACCAACTTGGTGAAGACATGAATAAGCGTGAGACAAATGCTTCAGACCAAACCATCATGGATCAAAATAGATAAAAATTAGCTGTTTGATGGTTTTTATCTCATTTATATAGAGTAACTTGATTTAGATAGGCATTATTATTTGGTTCATATTACCAGGCAAACTACTTTGCATTTTACTTAGCTTTTACCTATTAATAAGGCATTTGTGGAGATGCAAGAATAGTCATATTAGATAGAATGTAAGGACACTAACGCGTGTTAGAATTGTAACACGTAGATGCAACAAATAAATCGTATGAAGTTGTTAGATTAGGAAGGAAGAAGGGTGTCATGATGCAATGAGATGTAAGAATTGATGTTAAATATGCGGGTACAATATGACTCCCGAGACGTGACATATTAAAATTTTTAAGATTCTGCATTTTGTCTTAGTAAAGTTTTCAAACTTTGTGCAAACTCATAAATATAAGTACAATTTACTCTCGTTACAGTGAGCTCTTGGACAAAATTGGACACATGGACACCTTTGGATTGGACGTCCAATAAATGTCCAATTAAATTTTTTGAATACAGGGTTCGGGTCATGTGATACCTTTTATAATTTCTGTTATTTTACAGCTGTTTTCATTATTCCTGGGACACCTATAAAAAAATTAGCCGAAAAATTTTTCGGCCGGTAATTTTTTC